AATTATTTTTATTTGAGATATTTTTTGTTATTCACAAAGTGCATTGCACTTTCAAGAGTGATACTATTTTTTTTATTAATATTTTAAATAAATATTGTATATTTTAGAGCAATATTTGCTCAACACGTGACATGTAAAGATTAGAATAGTAAAAATTTAATTTTAATTGTACTATTAATTATTAGTATAAAATAATTAGTTGTAATAAATTTAATTGACATGGTTTTTTATAAAAATATAAATTAAATTTATATTTGATTGAGTTATTAAAATTAGAAATTTTAAGAATAAGATTCTAAATTTAAAAAATAAGATTAGGAATGGTAAAAAAAATTCATTTTAATTGTAGGTATTAACTTTTAATAAAAAAAATAGTTGAAATAATATGTATAAAAATTGAAATTAAATTTATAATTATTTGACTTATTAAAACTATGAATTTTATAAATAATTGTAAGATATTTATTATAATTTTAGTATTAATTGTTACTAAAAATAATCTTAATTTTTTTAAAATCTATAATTTTAAATAATTTTTTTAGATTAAAAAGTGGAGATATCACGTCCCAATATAGAGATACTCGTTGTTTAAATACCATATGTCATTGACGGAATAAGTATCATTCTAAAGGATACTATACTTATTTAAATTTTTCTTAAAAAAAATTGTATTTCCATGAAAGTGCAATACATTTTATTGGGCAAAAAAAAAAAAACAAATTAAAAATAATTTAAAAAAATATATTATTCAAGTAAGAAAAAAAACTCATTTTGGATTCATGTAATTAAAACAACAGAGTTTATTTAGTTTTAGAATTTTTTTATTTTTTATCTTCATTTTTAATTATAAAAATGTCATATGATTTTAATTTTTTTATTTTTAAATATTTGTATAAAAAGTAATGAAATTAAGAAAAGTTACTTTTATTATTTTTCTATACAAATCTTAAAAAGCAGAAAAACAATTTATAAAGGTGAGCTCTTTTTAATTAAAAAAAAATATTTTATCAAATCAAGCTGAGCTAACATTTTCTAATTCCTAACTTCTACTCACCACCTCTAATAATTTTGCTATCACAATTCAACTTATCACCGTTACCGTTATTAATGTCATTATATTTATTATTATGATACATATTATTACTCTTGTTACTATCTTTAATCATCACCACCTTTACTATTACTATTGCATGCTCGCCCTATAGTTGACGTCTTGTTGTCTGTGGTCTAAAATTTTCTACTTAAACCAAATATAAGCCCACATTTTACTATCCATTATTGGAGATATCAAAATAATGTTATAACAATTCAAATCCTTGAAGGATGTATTTGGTAATCTTATCTTTGGAGAACTTCAAGACTAAATTGGATGTTTTCTCTACAATTAAAACTCAAGCTTCAAACCAATAGTTTATTTGTTTTTATTTTGTATTTAGACTATGTTACAATTTAGTACCTTATTTTGTTATATTTGACTTTAAATATTTTTTTTTCTGTAATTTGTACTCTATTTAATATTTTTGGTAAATGTCTTTTTATTTTATAATATTATTTATAATTTATTAACTCATAAAAAATTATAAAAAAATCTCATTTTAATTAATAAATTACAAATAATACGAATGGGTAAAAAAATTTAACTGTCTGGACCGAAATTAAATATAATATTCACGTAGATATGAGAATAGGTACAGATTAAATCCATATATAGGAATCGACGTTATAGTATCCTAATCCAACCCATTAGCATTCTTGAAATTGATAAATTTACCTCTTTACTTATCTATTATTATTATTATTATAATATATATATATATATATATATATATATATATATATATATATAATTTAATGTATATATTTTCTCTTACTTAAAAAAAATAAAAATAAAATATTTACAATATGTTTGTTTGCATTTTAAAAAAGAGTTTTTTCTTTTTAAAAACTAAAAAGATATATTTTTTAAAATGTAAACAAACATACCTTTATTGTTTTTATTTTTCTCTGTATTTCATTCAAACAATAAGAAATAATAAAATCTCTCTATTTTTAATTTTCATTATTTTATTTTATAATAAAAAAAGTTAAAGGTGAAATAGATATTTATATTATATATGGTCACATAACACAAAAGGGGCCATCATTATTGTTAGTATGATCGACAATCCAACACATCCTCGTGGCTCAAATGGGAGAAGAGTTTGTGACTTGTGACCACTCATTCCTTGTCAATATGTGGAACCAAAGACATCAATTATTCTTTTATTATAAATAAAAGATATATTGGTCACAAATTTTGCATTACCCTATTCATAAATTCTTATTTATTATATGTTTGACGTAGGTTAGGAATTAGGATTAGGGATGTTTATCCAATGAAACCGCCAAAATTAAAATAAAAATTTTAATTTATTGAGAACTGAACAAAATAAAAATAAAAAAAATAACTGAATTTTTTATTAGATTAAATTGGATTTAGTTCCTTTACGTATGTATATAATTTTATTTATAAAATTAACATTAAACTCATATTTTTAAGATTATATTTTAATAAAATTAAGATAATCTTTGACCAGTATTTGACAGTTACTAATTAGAGTCAAAATTTTATTATTGCAAAAGTAAAAGTAGAGAAAACTCTTATTTGAATAATATTTCCTAAACTAAACCTTTTTTAATATGATGTGAGTTTTTACTTACCATGACTTTAAATGTAGATACTCTTATTAAGGTTGATACTAGAACTACGAATGCAGAAAGAAAAATAAAATCTCATGATTGTATTATAAAACAAAAGTCTTAGAAATTTATAGTAAAATAGTAGTACATTACACAAATTATTAACTAATTAAAAAAACCTAAAATATGTCATTTTAGAAGTTTTAAAGTATACCAAGCAGGATAATTAAAATGAAAGTCAAATGGGAAAGAATTATGAATGATAATTACAAATCATTAACAACATAGAAAATTTTAAATTATCTTGTGAAGAATTTTAAAAGTATTAAAAATATAAAAATAATAATAAAGATGCTTATATTAAGACTTAAATATGAGAGGAGTTATCAATAAAAAATACAAAAAGTTAAATATAATAAAAATATTTTAATTTTTTTTAAAATAAGTTATTTAAAATTCTTTCTATTTGATATAAAATTTACCTATTTAAAATTTTGTAACATTTTAAAATTACTATTTCTTACTATCTAAGTATATGAATTGTCACGGGCAATTTAAACTTTGATTTTTGCAAATATGCAATGTTAAGTTCTATAATTTTAAAAGTGTGTTATAGCAAAAAAAAAAAATTGCAAATTTTTTGTTTTTTTAACAAAAATACTTCCAAATTCTTAATCTTCTCTTTATACGAGGACAAATATTTTTTGAAATATTTTTATTAAAAAACAAAAATATAAAATGTTGCATTGCACGTTTTAAAAAATTAGATTTTAAATTATACATAATAAATATATAGTAAAGTAAAATAGACATTTTTTAAAAAAGTTTCTTGATTAAAATTTTACAGCATTCAATAAATATTTATTTTCATCTAAATATATACAATCTAATAATTTAAAATTACTCTGTACACACATAAAAGAAAATTATAATGCACATGTGTAACCAAACAATTAGGCTTTTTCTCTCTATTGCATTGTTAGTTTGTGATAACTTTTTGCTCTTGAAATTTTTTTCTTTGACTTACTTTATCCTTCTCTCTCATACTCGCTAAGCTTGTTCCCAATCTTCATCCAGTGCATCCTGTTTAAGAGTAACCCTCTAGTAATTGCTTGATAGTTTTTATGGGAAGAAATTGTAGTCTCTTAAATCCGTTTCGTTATTCATCAAGAAGTATATTAGTCTCATGTAATACTTTTTTAACTAATTAACAAGTATTTTATACATTTTGAAGAGCATTTTTTTAATTAAAGTAAAATTTAAGAAATAAAAATAAAATAAAAGTACAAGATAAATATGCATACTTAATTTAAATTACTAAGTAGAAATAAATAGCTTAGATTTAGGAGAGAGTAATTCTAAAAAAATTAATAATTGAAATTTGATTTGAACAGATTAATATTAAAAATTTAAAGTAGTTAAAATGGAGATTTGAAAAGAAAAAATAAAAAAATTGTTATATTTTTTAAATAATAGTTTAAATTTAAAAAATATAGAAAAATACTATATAAAAGTGAAGTATGTCCAAAGGAGAAAGAAAACACGTGTTCATTTGCTGCACAGAATTAGACATGAAATTGAAACTTTAAATTAGAATTAAACCTTAGAATCGAAAGTTTTTTTTTTTATATATATGTTATTGGAATCAATTTGAAAGGCACAACTCTAAATTATTATCATATAGCTAAAACTAATAGAGTTTATTTATGTTTAAAAAATATATATTTTCTTTATTTTTAATTATAAAAATGTCATTAATTTTAACTTATTTCTTCTTTAAATATTTGTATAAAAAAATAATGAAAATAATATAAGTTCTATACAAATCTTAAAAAGCAAATAATCTATTTGAAAAAGATGAGCCTTTTAAATTTTAAAAAATATTTTATCAAATCATGCTGACCTAACATTTTCTAATTCCTAACGTATTTGCCATCATCATTGACCATAACACCGTTATTAATGTCGTTGTTATTATTATTACCATCTTAAACATCACCACCTTTTATGTTAACTACTATTACTATCGCATGCTCACCTTACAGGTCACGTCTTCGTTGCCTCTATTAATTTTTTTTTTTACTCAAACCTCCACTTTACACTATCCATTATTAGAGATATCAAAATATTTTATACTGAAATTCTTTATATAACCCAAAGATAAAAATTATGATTTTAAATCAATTTAAAATTTGACAGGTTAAATAAATCTAAACTAGAATTTTAATTTTTTGCACCAAATAAATCTTAAACAAAACTGCTCAAGTTTAAGATAAAAATTTAGATTTATAATTTAGATATGATTAAAAGCAATCAAGAAGGTACATTTAATGATTTTTTTTAATCAACATTAATAAACCTCACCAAAATCTCTAATAAAAATAGTGTATATATTAATTACTGGTCGTATAAAACTAAGATACTGTCAATGCTACTTGGCAATTAAATAAAGCTGCTTAGAAGGGGAAATCTTTAACATCCAAGGAATACAATTCTTTATGACATTTACACAAAAACATTAATTACTTACTAACTAGCATTCAATCATCCATTAGCTTACCAAAACAACGGGCATACGTGGAAATCCACCTAGTTACCTTAAGTTGAAGAAAACTACATCAAAGTTTCCTGATTTACGCCTACAGCTAAGGACCAAATCATCCAACGCGGAATTCATAATTTGATCAAAACTGTGGATGCCCATGAAGCCAAAACAAGACGTTATCTTCAAACGTGTCACTGTCGCCAAAACCTACGACAACCATACACAGGCATCATATCAAACCCCTTGCGCACACACCCTCGCTTCACCACTACCGGTCGTCCATAGCAAGCATATTGTAACTTGTGCCAGTAATTGGAAGGAATGCCATGCCACCATTGTTTTTTCTAATACAGTAAATATAGTCTTTTTCCTCGCATTAAAGGGGACAAGACAATCCAAAAACATTCCCCATTTGCGCATTGCATATTGCATCGCTCCAATATGTGCATATTGTATCACACTAATAGTCCTGTGCTATGCGTTGCAACTTTAGATTGTAGAAAGACAACATTTAACTCTACAGTCAGAACTTATGACCATAATGAGCGTAGTTCTTGCAACCAAAACATCAAGAGCTACTTCCCATATCTTTTCCAGAGAACTCTCCATTACCAAAGGATGCTGCTGCAGTAACATCCAAACCACCACCAATCGATGTGATGAGTGCAGATAAGCCTCCACCAGCGGTGCCGCCAGCAGCCATCCCCAATCCTAGAAAATCAAGAGTGGTATGTTTAGGACCAAACATCGAAGGAGTTCCCATCATCAATTCCTTTAGTCCAGAAACACCATCACATGGAAGGCCAAGTCCAAGTCCTGCAGTAACTGAGGCACTCTCCGGTTCCACTAGCTGCTGACCCCATTGCAAGCTATCTTGCTGGCCTGATGAGGCTGAAGCAGAAGATGACGACACAATGCCAAACCCACGAAGTAAAGAAGCGTTTGTGGCAGCAGATCCCATTTGAGCAGCTTTCTGCAGCAATGCGGTGGCTGACAAAGCTGGCTGTGGCGGCGGGGCATACTGGCGGCACTCCTGCCCTCCTGTTCCAAAAAATGATGAGCCATTGTTGGTGGATAGGCAGAGAGATATGGCCTCAGATGATGAAGGAACTGAGATATCTGCAGGGTGATCTGGACGACCCATGGCTCTAATGAGGTCACTGAATGCTGGAGTTTGAGAATGTAGATTCCCAGATGCTGTTGAGGAAGCAAACAAACTTGCAAACACACTACTACTGCTAGTAATAGCACCACCATTGCTTGTTGAGCCGGTGGTGCTGTTGCTGACACAGCTCCCATTTAATGGAGTAGTAGCTGGCGGTTCCTCTATGACCTGTGGGGGATTCTCTTGCAACTCTGAAACATCAGAACTTAGAATTGAGGAAAAGCAAACCAACATGAACATTATTATAATGAATCATTATTAATTAATTAATTAATAGGAGAAGGAAAGAAGATCAAAAGCAACCATTTGAAAACGCAGCCTCGGAAAGTTGGTGCCTTTCTTTTATGCTAAAAGTTCAGAAGAAAAGAACAAAATAATAGTTTTCATCTCTTAAAAATTCACACTCCCCTTTCTCCCACCCCAAAAAAAAAAATCCTTTTTCTCCTTTTAGCTTTTGAATCTTGGAAGTTCCTTTGTTATCAATTGCACAATTCAGATCCAGCAGTCCCGATGAACACCTTTTAAGTAGTTTATTTTCATTACTTAATTAGCCCCCCGAATCTCTGAATCACTTTGTTCCTTTTATCATACACGCACGCACAAGTCACACCAAAAAACGATACCAGACAAAAACTACTAACCTCCAAGCTCACAGAGACAAACAACAACCACAAACAACAAAAACACAAGTTTGAGTTTGTTTTCTAGTTTTAACCACATCACTCACGACAAAAACAAAAACGACTAAGAAAAAGATTGCATGTTTTCCGATTAAGGCATTATCTACTATACCTAACTTTTGTGTCTGCAAAGACATGACACTATTTGACTGAGTAGTGTTAGTGGAGGTGACGGCGGTGATGGCGGTGGCAGCAGTAGTACTAGTAGCAATCGCCTCCGACGCAGTCACAGCCGCTGGTGGCGGTGGGGGTGGCGGCGATGAATCGCCAGTTAAAACCTTAGAATCAGACTCAGAATTAGCCTTCACAACGGTATGAGATCTCGCACTCTCCTCTGCCAACGCATCGCAAAAAGCTCTATGCGTGATGAAGCTGTCCCTCCTTCAAATCACAATCAAACAAGTTTTCAGAAAGAGAAAAAGAAAAACAGAGCAGAAAATGAAAAATATCCATAATAATAATAACAATAATAAGAATAAGAACAAGAGAAGTACCTGGAAAAAACAGTTCCACAATCGCATTTATACTCTCTGGTCCCGCAAACCTTGGAGTGAGCCTTCCAATCGGATTGAACGGCGTATTTCTTGGAGCACTTGTCGCACTTCCACTTCTTCTCGCCGTGCTTTCTGCAGAAGTGCTTTTTGATCCCCGTGAGGTCTCCCAAGGCTCTAGAAGGATCGTGGTGAACGCACGTTGGTTCAGGACACACGTACACCCTCTTCTTCACCTCCTTGCTCGACCTTTGCCTCAGCTTCCACGGCAAGTTGTGACCCCTGCGATGAAGTTGCAGATTCTGGTCCCTTTGAAACCCTTTGTTGCATATCTCGCACACGAACCGGTTCGTCGCTAAAAGGGTCTTCGGAGACAGAGCAATCACCTCTGCTTCCGGATCTGAACAAAAATTAAAAATCAATTAATAAAATTAAATTCAATTTAAGGTTTTTGTTGTCAGTTAGTTCTGTTTGTTGTTACCTGGCATTCCTGGAAGGTTTCGTTTTTTCTTAATGGTGGGTTTTGGTGGTGCTGTGTGATTGCCAGAGGAAGAAACGCTTGCTTCTCCCGAAGCTGTGGAAGCATTGTCCAAATCAACCGGCATGGTAATCAAACCTAGTTACGCTACGCTATGCTACGACACAATCCAATCTATTGATAAAGAAGGAAAATCTTAGGGGCATTTACCCTCACAATCCGAAAGCAAAGCAAGGGAAGGAAACCTTTGGTGATGGATAAAGTTTTGATTCCTAGGGTTTCTGTTCTGCTCTAATAATTAATATCCTCTCTCTCTCTCTCTTTCTATATATCGGTGAATGACTATATCCACCGGTCAACCTGGAACGTTTTTTTTTTTTTTTTCCTCCCTTGTTTATTTTATTTAACCTCGTTTCTCTCATTTAACCCGCACCACCTACCAGCTCCAATAATGGGACCGAAATTCACATTATAACGACAACAACTGGATTCCTTGAATGAACCCAGGGATATTGGTCAAATACCTTAAACAAAGCCCTATTCAGAGTTCACACACTCGCAGTCTCCAGAAACACTCTTTGACACCTACAATCAGTTTACTTGTATTTATTTATTTTTACGGGAGATAAATAAATGGGTAAGGCAGGGAGTGATAAATAACTTAAGAATGGGGTCATGAGTTTGATTATTTAGTGCTTAATTGCATAGTACGTAACAGGGTTAAGTTTAAGTAAGGTGTGATATCAAGAGAGAGTGAAAGTCTCGCGTCGTTCTTTTTCGTGTCCAATTTGGTATCCTCGAGTTGAGTCCAATTGTGGAGGCAAATGGTTCGAAGGCACACAGTAGAGTGGAGAAAGACTGTTTACTCCCATGTTTGTCGTTTTGCGCTTTCAGTCTTTCTATTGTGTGAATCCGTATTCTGTAGAAACCGACAGAGACAGACAGACCATTCACGGAACAATGAATATTTGTATAAAAACAGTCTCAAACAACCATAAAGTCAAAGAACCGATAGCACCCCTACGATTTTGCCACGTTTTTTCATCTATTTAATATTTAGAATAATTACATAATTAAATAATTGCGAAAAATATATAATAATATAAGTAATAGCTAAGATAAATTAATCTATTTCATTACTCATAAATAAATTAAGATATTTTATTTTTTAAATATTATAATATTTATATTTTAATTTTTAATAAATTTAATAATATTAAAATATTAGATATTTAAAATAAATTTATTTAAAAATTTTAAAAAATATCTTCTAAAAATAAAATTGTAACAATTTTTAAAATAAGTTTCATTTTTATTCGTATAAAATTTAATTCTATATCTCAAACTCACTTTATTTTGTCTTTATTTTTTAAACTAGTTTAATGATTCTTTTTATATTTCTAACATTTAGTCAGATAAAAATTTAAAGTTAAAAGTATGAAAAGAATATTCAACACAAAAAATATAATGAAATCAGATAATTTTTATTTGAATGAAATTAGATAATTTTTACTTCAAATAGTGTGGTAGAAGCTTTGTTCATTTATTCCTCATCTTACTTTAATTTTTTTATTATTATTTCTTATTACATACAAATATGTTTTTCAAATCTAACGACCTAAATTATCATACTTTTTTTAGAATATCATAATTTGAATTATGATATTTATAAATAAAATTAATTAAATTTGAAAGCATCATATATATATCTCAACTCTCTTAACAACAAATAAATCGACTAAATTAAAATAGAAGTAATGACTAAAGAGATGTGGAACACATAAAATTATTTTTTGTAAATTTTAATTAAGTCATATAATATTTGCTTAAACTAAGTTTATATAGTAATAATCATGCAAAATTTTGTCAATTTTAGCTAAAAAAAGTCAATTTTTCAAGCTAAAATTGTAAGATTTTTGTGAAAGTATGTAAGGAGGACATGAAGAAGATCTAAAATGATATTGAATAATCTATTAATACAAAAGCTTATTTTTATGATGAATTAGAATTATAAGAGTAGATATAAAAGTTTTAATTTTAAAAATTATGAATTGCATATATAGGAGTTTGTGAAGAACCTTAAAAATCTAAAATAGTATTCAAAATTCTATTAATTTAAAAATTATTTTTTATCATAAATTGAAACTGCATTAGTGCATGTAAAAATTTTAATTTTTAAACTCACTATTTAGATACAATTAGCTTAAGCACTAAAATTAAAGTATTTATTTCTAAAATTAAGATTACAAAATATCTCTCTATAATATATCTAACTAATTAAAGTAAATGTGTCATTTTTTTAATTTTAAAAAAGCACTAAAACTTCCAACTCAATAAAAATAATTTGGTTGAAAGTTTGTTTTAATATTTTACTTTAGTAAATAATCGTATAATTTATATTCTGTTTTAACGTGTTAATGTTGAAAATTCATATATGCTTTTAATTCATGTTATATTTATTTTTTGTATATTATAATTTTATACTATGTTCTATATGCTTTTAATCAATGCTTTATATTAGTTAAAGAAATGTATGAAAATTTGTTTGAATTTTTTGTTCATATATTTTAATTAATTAAACTGCTAGTAACGGAGATATAGATAGAAATTTAAATATCCAAATAAATAAATAAATAAAATTGTTACCCATAGATATAGAAATGAATACGAGTAATTTTTTAAAATTATACGTATTATAACTTCTATAAAATTGTACTTAAATCTTACTCATGGTCATTCTTAATAATATCATATAATGCATAAATACAATGGAATTATATTAAAAAATAAAAATAATATTAAATTAACATTAAAAGGTCCAAAATTAAAAATAACAGGGCAATAATAATATAATAAAGCATAAAATTAGAAAATAAAAAGGTATAAAAGTAATATGAAACACAAAGTAATAATATAAATTTTTTTCTAAATTAAAAATATTATTATTATTGCTATTATTATTATTATTATTATTATTATGTTACTCTAAGATAACAATAAGTTTGATAAACGATACCTTGCTAAATAATATTTATAAATTTTTATTTTTTATTAAAAATGTTAATATATTTTATTAAAATATTAAAATTATATTTTTAAAATAATTAATTTATATACAATATAAATACGAGTAAGAATATAATAAATACTTTCTATCAGCCTTTTACAGGAAAAAGGAAAATAAAATACATATTAAATATATTTTTTAAATTGAATATATTTACATTAATATTTAAATTGAATTTTAAATTGTTACATTCTGACCGAATGACAAAGAAATAAATTATGGTATATTTTTAAAGATTATTATAATAGATTTTAATACACGTTTGAGTATGTGATTTTGATTAAAAGATAAATGATTTTAATTAATTTTATTAAAATTATAAAGTTATGTAATATAAATTTAATTTATATTTAAAAAAATATTTTAATTCAATAATATATGTAGAATGTATCTACGCTTGAAAAATAGTTGTTGGTAGTAAAACTGAATTTTAACATTGATTTGTTATTGAACATACAGAGAAATTTATTATTTACACTGAGTGTATAACACTGTATATTGAACAAAATTATTTGTTGACAAGGTGATTGGTTTTAGCTAATTGTTTATGCATTGCATGTTTGTCTCTTATTTTTAGTTTACTTGCATAACCTTAATTGAATTTTCTTTTAAACAAGACAATAAATTTTACATTTATTTCAATGTTTGCTAATTGCTACTTTTTATAACTCCAGACCTTGTCTTAGTCTTTGATTCTATGCTAACCTTTATAGTTTTCATTTTCTGAAACATCACTATCACTGATGCTGTTGTTCTGATAATGAAATTATAGTTATGGTATGGTATATTTAAATTGTATTATATAAACAGTTAAACTTAATATTTGAATTGAAACTAAAATTTACAGGAAAAAATAAATTTATAAATGAAATAAAATATATAGTATTTACAATTAAGAAGAATTAATACTTTTAATGTTGAATTGCCGTCTTAAATATTTAACACGTTAATGTATATTAAAATTTATTATAATTAACTTTTGTATTATAATAAAGTCGATTATAATAATTTTAGATATTTAAAAAAATAATTATAATTGATTTCTGTATAATAAAATATTATATTATGTTAATTAAAATATTAAAAATAAATTTATCATATCTATCATTTGATTGGGTTGACCGAACAAACGCTAAAAGTATAATCAATATGAAAGAAAAAATATTCTAAAAATTATCAGTAATATAAATTAGGGATGAACTTCGGTTGGATTCGGAAGAAAAATCCAGAAATGGTGTCACCGATAATATTAATAGTATGAACCGATTTAGAGCATAGGCCCCCTCTTTGGGTCTTTGGGTCTTTGGGTTGTGCGGGTTTCAAATTTTGAGTAGGTTCTTGCGATTATGTAACGAGAGGTTCTGCAGAAACTAAAAATTAAGAGGGAAGATTTAAGGAGAAGAAAAATTTAGAAGATGGCTAAGGACTCGCAAACACAAAGATGAAAAACGCAAGAGAGACTCACGAAAAGGAAGAAAACAAAGACGCTGAGGGAAACGTTGGAATCCACTATTTGAAGTATAGAAGCAGAATGCCGAAAGAAGAAATCCAGAAGCAGAGGAAGAAAACAAAGACATTAACAGAAGCATTGAAACTCACAATTCAAAGCATGAAAAAATATAACGTCACAACCAGAAATTTAGAAGCATAAAGGCTTTCAATCAGGAGCAGAAAGACGAACTTGCGGAGAGGTAAGAGCAGTGACGATGGCAGGAGACATGTATGCAAATTAGTGTCAGGTAAAATTACAAATGAAACCCTGCATTTGGGCTTCAGCCAATGTTCGAAGCATCAGGTGAACATATAAATTAATGTATAACTTTAATTTAATCCACAACTTGGTTATAATTTTAATAAACACTAATTACTCTTTAATCATTAAAATGACACTTGTTCCCTCTTTTTTATCTTCATTTAAATATGATTTAAAAATATTTTTAGTCTTTATAACCAAAATCGATATTTATTAAAATTTTTGGTGAACTAAATGAGAGCGAAATTTATAAAAAAAAGTTAAAAAGACTAAAATACTTAAAACCATATTAAAGCTTTTAAATATTTAAATATTTAAATATTCCTCACTTTTCCTGCTTTCCCTGTTACTTCCCCCGATCAAAACACATTGTTAAGAAACCCTTATCTTCGTGAAAGACAGCACATGGGTCTGCCGTATGCGTCTCTCTACCTTGGGTATCGAGTAGCCTAGTAGCTAGCTCCTAACAAGACAAAGCATTCTTGTGACCAAATAAATTAGGAAAATGTTAGGATTGCACTCCTAAAATAACAAGTAGAATGAGTAGAAAAGTTAAGTAAAATAAAAAGGGAAGATAAAGGATGAATGTATAAGAAAATGAGCGTGAAAAAGTTGACATTTAATAATTGTTAATTTTTATTGTCATAATTAAAAAAGTGATATTTTATCATAAATTAATTAATCATGTCATTACTAATGAAAATGTTAAATTTTTAAAATCATAAAGTAAAATTATTTTTTAAAAGTAA